AGGCAGTGGGGATAGCGAGCACCTCCCTTACTGACTAGTCAATGGAAATTTCATCAACTGCTCAATTAACTGATTAATCCAAATTTAGCATCCCTAATAGAGACATTAGATATAGTGTAACTGAATAGTCATATAGCTGCATGAAATCTTATTGGTTACATGACGATTCGATAATCCCTGAGGGCAGGGCCAACAACCAGAGGCAGTGGGGATAGCGAGCACCTCCCTTACTGACTAGTCAATGGAAATTTCATCAACTGCTCAATTAACTGATTAATCCAAATTTAGCATCCCTAATAGAGACATTAGATATAGTGTAACTGAATAGTCATATAGCTGCATGAAATCTTATTGGTTACATGACGATTCGATAATCCCTGAGGGCAGGGCCAACAACCAGTATGCTCCTGGCCCCACTCCCAGGAAACCTTCTGCCATCCAGTGCTGCCAATTCTCTTTAAGCCGGCTCCCCACAGCACTGGCTCCTGACTGCCCTCGGGCGCTTCCTCTATAGGAGGCAGAGGGGGGCAGGGGCAGGTGGGTCTGCGAAGCCAGCACATATGGAGAGTCAAAAGCTGACTCCCCATGCATATTGGCTCCAGACTACCCCCAACCCCCACCCTCCGTGTTGCTGCCTCTCTATCAGAGGCAGCAGCACGGGGGGAGGAGAGGACCAGCAGATCTGGTACTCATAGGGATCCTGCTTAAAGCCAGGTCCTCATGGGCTCAGCTCCTGCTCCCCACTACTTGCTGCCTCTGATACAGAGGCAGAAGGGGAGAGGAGTGCATGTAGTCAATAAAATTAACTAATAAGTCAAGGCTTATTGGTTAATTGTGTAGTGATCTACATGTTGACATCCCTATTTTTCACCCTTCAGTTCTATCCTGAGAATAAACATACAATTCAAGGCTGGGCCAACCAAGACTCAAAAAGAACTTAATTCTACACACTGAGTCAAATAAAATTCCATCCTAGAACTAATTCTTTAAATAACCAACAGTCAAAACTGGCTCCTTATAATACAAAAAAAAATCTCTTCTCCAAACACGAGAGCATGAGGGACTGCACTGCATAACTCAGCCAAGACTTTTTTAAAAAAAAATATCATGAGTTATTGCCCCAGTTTTCATGAGAGAGTCAGTGAGGCAAATAGATCATCACAATTAGCTGCTATACACATTCTCTAGTGTGAGAAGAGATTGCTCAAACACGAATACATAAATTACTGTTGCAACTACATATTGAAAACTACAGCAACTATTAAGCTGCTTATATTCCATCCAAACTTGTCCCCAAATCTCTCCCCTCATTCACCTTGAACATGCTATCAAAAGCATCCCTATACCCTTGATACAGTTTTCTAGTTAACATTCGCCAAGCACTATTTCTCACCTTCAAAAGTTCCTTGAAAGCCTCATTCCACAGAGCACTTCAAAAAAAGATCACATGCCACTGTTTGTTTTACTGATTTGCAAAAAATACATGAAACTCTCACGTCATCAGCTGGACTCATGTATGCTCTTTGATATATATTTTGTAAAAAATTCCTTAAATATTTTACTAAGTATCTGAAGAAAACAATGATTTCCCGAAACATTTGCCATTTGTTATTAAAGGGAACACCAGTTTAAAATATAATATTTACATTGGAAGATGTATGTTCTACTGTTGAAAGCAACCCCTATGATTACTATAACAAATAGACTGAACAAAATATTTCCTTCTATTTTGTCAGTTTCTTTACTTCACACCCGTGCGCGTACACACACAACGCTGTCAAGCACCGTTCATCGATGGTCAACATTTGCAAGGCTCTGAAAGAGATTCCTTACTAGTAACAGCAGCAGCAAAACTGAAAATGAAACAAAAAGAGGCAACAGACAAGCATATACGCACGTAGAAAAGTGTGTGCCTGAGCACATTTTGAGTTGTTGCTCTTGGGGTGTGCTCAGAAGACCCTTCAAATCAAGACTAATGTAGAACAAAAAATCCATATCAATTTCAAAAACAAAACACACGAAAAGGCTGCATTATCAGAAATGAATTTTTTTCATTAGTCTATTTTAAAAAAAAAAAAAAAATCAAGCTTGCACTAAGCCTGTAAGGAGCACCTCTGCAGGGAAAGCAGGAAGTTTTGCTATTTTTGTTTTAATTTATTACTACAATACAAGAACATAAATGCTAATCCAGTTGCTAATCCAGTGATGGGCAACCTAGGCTAGTGAGTGAGCTGCGTGAGTGGCCCTCCATCTCGGTGTGCTGTAAGACTGTTGCAACCAAGACAGTCTCCCAGAATGCAGTAGTTTTACTAACTGAGCTGGCGCACCTTTAATTTGCAGGGTGTGCAGACTGAACTGTAGCAGCACTTTGGATGCACAGTCAATGTGGTGTGCAATCAACACGCATCTCACTTCACAAGCCCTTGCTTTACAGATGTGTAATCTCTATCTTATTTATATATAAAATTTTTTCCTGCTGGCCAATAGAGTGACATCATTATGTTATCTGCGTTCTCATGACACTGATGCTATCGGCTCAGGTGCTTTCTGTGGCCAGCCTCAGCGCTGTCCTCTCTGGGCTGCTCCAGCTCTGGCTCCTGCTTTATGCCCCTGGGGTCTCTGCCACTGGGGAGGAGCTGCTGGGGCTGGGTCCCCTCCGCAATACAAGCCCCATCTCAGGCCGCACCGGGTCCCCCCATCACCACCTGCGCCCGACTCCAGTCCCCTCATCCCTTCTGCCAAGATTCCACACTCCCAGCCCACTCCTGCCCCCTTTCTCTCTGGCCAGACACCTACCCCCCAGCCTGCTCCTGCACCCACCCCCTGGCTAGACACCTACCGCCGGGGGGGGGGGCGTTGATAAGCGTAGCAAGCAGGGCAGCAGCCCCCTAATACTGATAGAAAAAAACAACACAGATAGAAACCAGCAGAATCAGGCAACCCTGCCTTGGGCAACAGTAAACAAACCGTCTTGCGAACCACAGATAGAACCCCAATGGGCCAGACGTGGTCCACCTTCTGCAGCTTGCCCACCACTATGCTAGTAGCAGTCAGTAAGACAAATGTAAAATATATTCAGTACATGTATTGCAACTTTTAATCAGCACAAAAATAATTCTATCAATATAATTCTTGAAATATAAAACAGGGATAGAACAAACAATGCTAATAACCCTACCTTTCAGAAGAGCTACTGAGAGTTGGTCTGTGTTGAGGTTATTGACATATTTGCCCAAATAGGTGTTGAGGACCCAGGCTACCAGTCCCTCCAACATGATTGTTTGCTGGGATGGGTGACTAAGAGTCTGTTGTCATTCTCTGTTCCATAGTTTAGTTGTACTCTGTTTTAAATGGAAAAGGAGAAACTTCAGTGATATACTATACCAGTTCCCAAAACATTCCAGAAAAACTGTGACAACTGAAAACATTTTTCACTTCAATCATCTCATCCCAAAGGCACTTGAAAATTAATAAGTACAGGTTGAACCTCCCTAGTCCAGCACCCTCCGGACTTGACCACTGCCAAACCAGAGAATTTGTTGAACCACAGTAGGTCAATATTGGCTAGCAGCATTACCAACACAACTGCTTACTGGCATTTCAGTTGGGAAGACATTTAGGTGTAAATTAGAGCTAACTGAGAGCACAGAAAACTGAGAGCCAGGACTGGTGGCTATGAACAAATATTACGGGACCGCAGGAAACTTGGCCATAGCCATGGTAAGTGGACATCTGGCTAACTAACATCATGCCAGACCATGGATGTTGCCAGATGAGAAAGTGCCAGACTAGAGAAGTTCAAGATGCATACAAGATGTTGGCATAGAGTAGCTGCTTACAAAATATAAGAATTTTGCTATGTACAGCTAGTTTTAATTACCCTGATAATCCCAGGTCAGAGTATAATGCAATGAAGTTACTATTTATGCTGATTTTATTTATACAACATTATGGGAGTTAATACCACCTCACCTGCTCCAATTTTTATTAAGGTATACTATACTACATTTTTAAAACCTTTTCCTCACTGAGACTTGTAGTGCTTTAATGATTAAAAACACCTTAGTGAATAAAGCACTGGACCACAACTCAGGAAACATGGGTTCTATTCACATCACTGCCACTAACTAGCCTGCTGGGTGACCTTGAGCAAATCACTTCACTTCTCTGAGCCTTGGCTTCCCCTACTGCAAAATGAGGATAATGGTACTGACCTGTCTCGTACAGCGCTCTGAAATTTAATGATCAAAGATATTATTATTGAAGTGTAACTTCTACTTATAGAATCATCATACAAAAATTAATCTTTGCATCCTTCATACTGAAGCACTGTCCTACTTTGAAGCAATATCAGACAAGGTGCCACATTGTCCTCTCTGTCTTCACAGGAGGAGATGAAAAACAAGCAGTTCTGGATGCAGACTAATGTACTGCCTCTGTAGCCTTGCACCTCTTCCTCAAATCCCATAAGAAACCCATATACAACTACTCCATAATAGAAATGTAAGCGACTAATCGTCTAGTCGGCTATCTAATAAGCAAAAGCTTATCAGATACTTGACACGTTAATCAACTAGTCGCTCCCCACCCCTCATCCTGCCTATCAGAAAGAGGCGACGAGGGAGTGCTTGGGGGAGCTAGCTTAAAAGCCAGTTTCCCCCTGCTTCAGCTACATGGGAGGGAGCAGGGGCGCAGCGACAGCGTTCCACCTTTGAAACATACAAGAGTCCCTCACTAGGGCCCTGCTGGGGCTCTTGTGCATTTCAAAGACTTAAGAGTCCCCCACTAGCCCTGGGCTCCATGCGGCATTTCAATCTTTGAAATGCACAAGAGCCCCTGCTGGGGCTCTTGTATGTTTCAAAGGTAGAACACCAGCTGTCACTTCCGCTTGAAATGTAGCAACAGCTGGGTGGGCTCTTGCTACATTTCAAAGCAGACATGCCCTAATCGATTAATCAAACAGTTGATAGAAATTCCATCGACTATTCGATTAGTTGATTAATATAATTTTAACATCCCTACTTCATAAGATCTGGGCTCTCTGACTTTGGAAACTGTAGTTGAGTGGAGGATAGCCACGCTCTGGTAATGTTCTCTCCTCAGTTTTTATGTACAGTTTCATACCGTGTTTATCATTGCTATGTGAGTACGTACACTCAGAAATACAAACCCCAAAACTTATTTTAATTCACATTAGTGCTGATCTTGTCAATAGTACTTGCTTTCCTCACCCCAATCTGAGTATGACTCACTAAACATGATTGCCAGGAGCGGCAGCTAGCAGGGGAAATCCTTGCAGCACCACTCCTTGAATGGCTGGAAATGGCTGAGGGAAGCCAATCCCCTTGTTCTGTGGCTCTCAGGAACTCTACAGATCAGGTTTTCTAGGAAAAGAAGAGAGCAAACTTCCAGCCTTTTCCATTATAGAGAGAGAGAAACTCAAACTTCCTAAAATAAAAGTGTACTGGAAATACCGTAAGTGAAAACTGATATATTTCCTGTCCTCTAAAAGCTAATTACTTTTGCAGAAGGCAATTTAGCTGCAGAACACACACAAAATGTGGGTAATATCGTAACGTGACTCTTGTACATTCCAAAGGGAGAGGAGCAGCAGTGGGACCGGTACGAGCAGGAATATTCCAATCCCCACTCACACCATTTCCCCGTTGCCTCCTGCTTTCCCCGCTCTCTGCAGAGATGGTGCTGGGGTGGGGGAACCAGCTTTTAAGCCGGCTCCCCACAGCACCAGCTTGTGCTCCCCCTCCCCTTGCAGCCTCTCTCATCGAGGCAGCAAGGGGGGGAGCAACTAGTCGAGTTCCTACTCGACTACCTGATAAGCATCTGCTTAACAGTCGATTAGTCGCTTTCATCCCTACCTCACACCCAGTGAAATAAATGGATACAATGAACCAGCAGCGATCTACCTGTGTGGATCAGCTTCCAGGACAGGGTTTAATTCGATTTCTTTGTGGGCACTCTTACAAAACAAGTTACTTAGTTTTAATTTCTTGTCTCCCCCAATTCACTAAACTCAGACTATACTGACAGCTTAACGTGACCTTACATTATTTAAAGGGATACTGTCAAGATGCTGAAGCTATAATGCACATTTTGACAATGAGCACACTTCCAATCTTCTATCCTCTCAATCTTTAGCAGCCATTTCTATTTCAATCCATGCTGCTGCCAGAAAATACTGTAATTTATGTTTTACAACCATGTCACTGAAGTCAGCTGCAGAACTATCATTAACTTCAACATGAGCTTGACTAAACCCTTCAATAAACATTGGTAAACAAAGGATGAATACACTATATGGTGTGAAAAATGCTGTATATACCCATTGTTTATTAATTGGGTATCTGGGCATGCATAATTTTCCCCAAGGCAACATGAATAATATTTTTCAAATATGGAGTTGTAAGTGGTGAAAAGTGAAAAAGATGCTTGTTTATATAATGTAGGACAATAAAAGGAAATTATTAATTTGAGGACCATATTTTAATTCGTATATTAAAATTCAGGTTTTTTCCATAGGTAATATAAGTTTTACTTGACTCATAGTTGAAACATTAATGTTCACATTTTTAAAAATGTCACTGAAAGTTTTCTTCTATTAAACCCCACCCTCCAAACGTTCAATTTCTCTTCAACATTAAAAGACACAGAATTGTTCTAAGGCCAAAAAGTGAAAATGACTAGAACTAAGTTAACACAACCAGATTAAAATAATGCTAAGAAACGTAAACCATTAAAACAAAAAAAATTAAAAGTCAAGTTCATTATTTAAAATTATCTGATCTTAGGTTCCATTGGCAATGCTAGCTGCACTCAACAAACTAAAGTCTTGTCTTTCAGACAGAAGACTGGCATTCACACTTTTACTTACTATTGAAATTGCAGTTGTGACTAACAAAGTAAAAGTTTTAAGCATCATATATGCAAGATCCCTATCCCTCCCACTCGATCCTTCAAAGGGAATTGTAGAGGCAAAATTAAGATAAAAACCTAGAGACAGTGTTGTGATGGACTGAATAAGTTACCAAAAAACAGGATTATGTGAGACAAGTAAAAGACATACTTCCTCATATCATCATACATACTTAACGAAAGTAAGCTCTGACCTTAATTTAAACTAACTTGGGGATATATACCATCTTACTCAAAAAATACTAAAGAAAAATGAGTAAACATTTATCAGGAAGGGCTGGAGAAGTCGGTAATGTATTAAAAAAGGATGGGAGGATCTTGCCAATAAATCTCCTATACCTCATGACTCTCTGGAGAGAAGGGGACTTTTAAAATCAGTGTCATAAGCCCTGCACGATATGATTACAAGTGGTGACTACTCTGGTAAAGGCAGGACAACAGGAAGGGCAGTCTTAGGGTCAACGTAAGGGAGTGTTGGGGAACCAAATACCTTGCTAGACTCTGGCTATACAATACAAGAGAATGGCAGGTAGGGTCACTGTTTGGGGAAGAAGCAGAAATAAACCCCTAGGGGAAAAAATGGGTCCAACTGGCACGAGATAGAGAAAGGTCACCTTGCTAAGATTACAGCACAGGCTGCCCCAGGAGGCTGGGGTTACATGATCACTCTAAGACTGCCTAGGTGTGCCAGGGAAGCGCTGCCGAAGCCAGACAGCTATAGGAATGGTGTAACAGGAGGCAGGTGCCAGGGCCCTAGCAAGGGAGTCAAAAAACTTACAGCCAGGGCCAGACCCTGGGAGGGAACCTCACTCTGAGGGCCAGGCCCCTAGGGGAGCCAAGGGGGCTCGGGGGTCACTGTCTGAGGACCAGGCCCCTAAGGGAGGCAGGCAGGGGACCGAGCTGGGGGGGTCACTGTCAGAGCCAGGCCCCTAGGGGAGCCGGGGGGCGGACCCCGGGCTGGGGGGGGTCACTGTCAGAGCCAGGCCCCTAG